TTCTTCTTTAGAAAAGTTGATATAGATCCAAATTCTCATCTAGAAGTTGGGTTTAATCCTCGGATTTGATGACTTTGATACAAGTCCTTTGACTTTTGTGCCACATAGGATTACATTCCTTTTTGAATATTGTCTGATGTAATCTTTTTATTTTATATATTTAAAATCTTTTTTTTTTTCCAATATTGCCCATTATCTTAGACTAGCCTCTTCGCACGCGCTTTTGCGCCTGCAAGAGGCTTTTTTTTTAAAAAAATTTATTTATTTTAGAATTAAAAAAGATAATGGGTGGTTGTGTTCCATAAAAAGAGGATCGATTATTTGATTTTTCTTTTAATTTTAAATTTTTTTAATATGAAAAGTGTGAATTTACCATAGTATCCTCATTTAATTAATAATTTCAATTTTTAATGTTTGCATTAACCAATGGCATTTTCTGGTATTTTGAATGTTTCACCATTCTCTGCCTTTTGCTTTATATATATAGATTACCTTAATGAGATAATTAGCCAATATTATATTTCTTTCCTCATCCAACAACTCTTAATGAGGTAATCTTATTATTATTATTTTATGTTGAATATATGCTCAACTTTTAATCAGGTTCAGTTATTTTGTTCTTTTTAGTTGTTCTTTTATGTATAGTATACCAGAGACATAGGTACGTAATACATTTTTTGATATATTTTTCTTCATATATATATCTAAATTATAGGTAACATATTCCTTTAAGAAAAAAAAAGTTATTAATTGACTTGTGTTTTGACATACATGAGATATAGGTACCACACTTTTTTGCCTTTTTGTTTATGAATCTAAGTTATAGGTAACATACGATTTACCATTTATCTTTTTTATGTACCGGAGATATAGGTAGTTTTCTATTTTTTTATCTGACTTATAGGTAGTTTTCTAATTTATGTTCCTAACTTATAGGTAACATGATTTATCACTAAGTATTTTTCGTTACTAATAATAACACTATTTACTTGTATGTCAGGTATATAATTTAATGTGGGTGCTTGTATTGTATAATTTGTGGGTCTTTACTTTGTATTGATTAAATTGTATTTTGTCCATATATTAGGAATATTATGAAGGAAAGAATTCAAAATTTAAATTATGGAATTCAATTACAAGGAAATAATGTATTAAATTTAGATTTTCAATGTATTTTCCTTATTTACCTCAAAGGGTAAAATTGACACAACAAAAAAGTAATAAATGTAAAAGGACCTGCATCTAAAACTAAAACCGCGAGGACTAAACCCAATGATAACTAATCGTTGTGGACCTAGATCTAAGAAGCCCTTTCTTCTTTTGTTGGCGAGTCAGCGGCATGCACCAGTTCGAAGCTCTGATACCAACTTGATAGGACCAGGTCCTATCAATTGGATTTACACTCAGAAAAGAGAAAAGAGATGAGAGAGGATCACTTCGAGGGGATCTTACCTCCAAGTATTTAGCTAATATTCTTTATGACTGCTTAGAGAGCACCATACGGCATCTACAATATAAAGCAATAGAGCCACACTAAATATAGACTATTACACTTCTAGAGACATTGGAAAATAAACAGCTACAAGCATTGGAAAACCAAACCACCAACTCCACACACCGACTCACCGACTAAGACCCCAATAATTCTAAAATGGAAATATGTTGGGCAATTTGCTGAAAATTAATTCTCTTAACACGGGTAAGTTCACTAGATTATGTGTTGAATTGGACATATATTAGCCTCTTGAAGCTTTTGTGCAAATTAATCATGAATGGTACAATATTGAATATGAGGGTGTACCAGAGATTTGTTATCTTTGTTGGAGATATGGTCATCACAGGGATAATTGTGATTTAAAGAAGAAGGCTAGTGAGGATAAAAGTGGGGAGGTTCCTACTGCAGGTGGGAGTGACTCTTTGGGTGCAGATGTTATGATGGGAAAAGAAGATAACGTGCTTGTCAATGAGGGCCTTCGATGGTTGTGCAACCTAGAAGGTCGTCTGAGCCTGGGGTGAAGGAAGGAAATGTTGGAAATCATGGGGCTAGACCTCAAGGGTCTCGGTTTGATGCTCTTAGGGAAGTGGGAGAGACATTTGGAAGGGAAGATGAGAGAGATTCTGCGACTGTGGAGCAACATCATGTTGCAAAACCTAGTTTTCCTAAGAAAGTGTGGACCAAGTCTAAGGGTCCTAAAAATGGGAATCGCCCAGTGCTTAAATATTTCCAATAAGCCTTTGGAAGGGTCTTCCAAGGTGGCTGCTGGTAGTTCCCTTAAAGGTGGATTCTCTAAGCCTTTTGACCACTAAAGGAAGCATGGTGTTTGGCGGGAAGAAATTTCATAATAGTGTTTCTATTTCTGAGCAGGTGGATAAATGGGAGAGTGGTTAGAATTCTAATAAGGACAAGGGGGTGTTTATTTTTGGCCACGATCCACCAAATATTGATGCTGATTGTGGTGCTCTAGAGGAAGAGGATGAAACAGATGTTGATACTAATTCTTTGGCTTCTTCTGCTCAGGATGGAATGCTTCCAACTGAGAGGATGGATTTTTCTGAAAATCATGTGACTCCCTCTTGTGGGAAGGATTCCAGTAATACCTTCCATAGTGGTGAAGGTATGAATTTTGGATTTTAATAAGGGTTTAGCACTCTATATGTTTGCTATTGTTGCTTTTTATGGATATTGTATGTTGGGATGCTCGAGGTGCTACTTGCGCCAAATTTGGAGTTAATGTTTTGGAGTTGGTTCGAACACATCATATGGATATTCTGTTTGTCTGTGAGCCTCAGATTAGTGGTGGGAAGGCTATCTTCGTTGCTAAGTCTTTAGGGTTTTCTAACTATGAAATAGTTAACCCAATTGGTTTTTCTAGTGGCTTATGGTTACTCAGGAATGAGAATAAAGTGGTCGTGGATATTCTTGGAATTAATGTTCAAGCTATAGCTGCTTGTGTCTCTTGGCCTGGTCAGTTGCCTTGGTTTTTCACTGCTGTGTATGCCAAACTTAACAGTGTGAATAGGGAAAAGCTTTGGGATTACCTTAATTTTGTTGTAGGATGCCACCAATTTCCTTGGCTTTTAGCTGGGGATTTTATTGAAATGCTCTCTGTTGAAGATAAGCTTGGAGGAGCTGTTCTTAGTAGGTTAAAAGAGTTTAAAAGTTGGGTTAATGTTAATGATATGGTAGATTTTGGTTTCTCTGGTCCTAAGTTCACTTGGACCAACAATAGGATGTTTGAGCGAATTGATAGGGTTATTTGGTATATAAGTTAGAGAAGACAATTTGCTTAGGCTAATGTTAGGCATTTGCCAAGGACTAAATCAGATCATAGTCCTATTAAAAAATTTCTTAATTCTACTTCTCCTTCTTCCCTTGGTCGAAGACATTTTCGTTTGGAAGCTATGTGGATGAAGCATGATGGTTTCACATAGTTTATTAAGGAGAATTGGCAGTAAGGGCTGTGTAATGCTTTGGAGAAGTCTTGTGGTATGAGGGAACCTTTGAAGCAATGGAATACTAAGGTTTTTAAGCATCTTAAGAAAAAGCTAGGTTGTTGGCTAGACTGGCTGGTATTCAAAAGGCTCTTTTTGAGGGTCCTAATTGTTTTCTCAGAGAGCTGGAGGTCGTTCTCATTGAGGAGTTTAATAACATTCTTGAGCAAGAAGCTCTGTTCTAGCTGCAGAAGTCTAAGTGGTTGCAAGAGGGGTATAGAAATACAAAGTTCTTCCATATGTCTACCCTGATTCGAAGAAGATGAAATAAGATTGAAAGGTTGAAGGATGATGGAGGTAATTGGGTGGACGATGCTGCTGGTCTTAAGGTTTTGGAGATGCAGTTTTTCTCTGGTTTTCAGCAATCTACTATTGATGAGGATTTGGTTATACCTAATTTCTTTCCTATAGTTGATGTTGCAGATTTATGTGTGCTAGAGAAAGGTATTGAGTATAATGAGGTCAAAGACAGCTTTTTTAGTATTGGTGGGCTCCAAGCTCCTAGGGTGGATGGATGTCCTCGTTTTTATCTGTTGGAATTGATAGGAGGTGAAGGGGTTTAGGACAATAGACAACAGTTGAAATGAAATGATTTTATTAGATTGGAGGAGAATAATACATGCCTTGGTATAGGCTAATTGACCTTCTTCATAGCTTATTGACTTATTAATCGTCTTTCTTGCTTATATAGGCTTATTGGCCTCCTCAACATTGCTTAGTTTGGGTAGCTCTTGGCTCCCACATAGAGTGGGAGTTTATTTGTTCACTCCCCATATGACTGGGTAGCTTTTTTCGCTCCATGATCAAATGTATGTCTATTTATAGATATGATCCACCGCCATACTTGGTCCACCGACTTAGGAAGTTAACCCCAGCCACATATGTGTGGCTTTCTCTAGATAATTGTCCAAGGTTGCATGTGGCTGCCGACTTCACTAAGTTAGTCATATTAATGATTCTTCTAGAACCTTTTGGATCTTTTTGTCACAAATGGGCATTAGTATTTTTAACACTCCTCCTTAATGCGTATTTGTGTTTCTCCGAGCGTGCTCCTTCTGAAGCTAGTATTGATGAAGCTTTTGTTGATGCTGCACCCTGTGCTCGTGTGGCACTTTCTCTGTTCGTAGTTAGCTTGATAGTTTTTTGCTGACAATATTTTTTTCTTCTCAATGCCCATTTTTTTTTTTTTTTGTTTCAACATTCGGGCTTCTTTTGATTTTTCTTTTTTCTTTATTTTTCTTTTTCTGGGTGCCTTGATGTAATAACCCGATCCTAATTTAATATTTAATTATTAATTTATTCCTCCAAAAAAGTCCCTTCCTATTAGGTTAGGGTTTTTCTAGCGCCTCCATCTTACGAGTTGGCTGCTAGGGTTTTGTTTGAAGCTTGGGGGTTACGTTTTGTGCAGGTGACTCGCTCAGTACCTGTCTAGTGTGGTTCTCGGCGGGGTACTTCTGCCTTCTGCTTTACTAGGGTTAGGCTTCGTGGGGAAGACTATTGAGTGGCTGATGGCGTCTGTCGACGATCTTGTGATTGGGCTATCTTCTAACCTGGCGATCTCAGAATCTGAGGCTTTTGAGGTCGTTGGGGTAGAAGAATTAGCAAAGTTGAAGACGGAGAGGTTTTTGATGGTGGGGAGGCTATTGACAACAAAAGTTTTTCATAAAGAGGCACTGATTGGAATGATGAAGAAAATATGGCATACTCGGCAGAAGTTTTCTACTGTGCCGTTGGAAGATCCTACGAGCTTATTGTTCTCTTTCAAATCTAACTTTGACAGAAAGAAAGTGATGAAGAGGTCACCATGGACATTCGATAGGGCGCTGTTATTGTTGGCAGAGATTGATGGAAGCGTGGACCCTGTGTCGGTCCCTTTGGATACTCAGAATTTCTGGGTGCGAGTCCGACGTATTACTCCTATTTTCTTAACGCTGGCGATAGGGGAACAAATTGGGAAGTATCTTGGGAATTTTGTCATGGTGGATCGAGGTTTGAATGGGGACTGCCTGGGGAGGTTTTTACGTATCAGAGTGGGACTTAATGTTACTGAGCCTTTGAAACGGTGTGTTACACTCAGACTTGCGCTGGATGAATCGGCCAAACAATATGAGATAGAGTACGAGAGGATTCCCTTTTTCTGTCTTTTTTGTGGCACACTTAATCATGTGGGATCCTTCTGCAATCTAAAACAATTAGGGGCCATCGTGTATGAACAGTATGGAAGAAGGAAAACAGTTATGAAGGAGGTCTACTGTATTAAGGCGGAAGAACGGTCTAATTGGGAAAAGTTCTGGGTTGATGGATGCTGTTCCAGAGCTCGGTGAGCTTGGTGACGCTACTAATCCAAATATTTTAGGGACTGTCAGATCTTTTGAGGAGGCTTTTGGTGAGCATGGCTTGAGTGGGGTGGCGATGGATGTGGATAGTGGGTTGGATAGGCCCTTGGTGAGCTTATTTAAAAGGAGAAGAGTGTCTACAGGACATCGGCTTAGTGATGTAACCTTGTTGAAGGAAACTGGGGGCATGGAAAATAACAGTGTGGAGCGGGTGCCGGCTGATGGTGTTTTAGCAAGAGAGACTCAACGTGCCACTGGGCTCGGTACAATAGATAAGGGGAAACATGTGGTGCTGGGAGATACCAATGAAGGTTTGAGCGTGAATAAGGCAACGCAACAGGTGGGGCAAGGTGTAGCAGGTCAAAGTCATGTTCTTCGAGTGGGGGGTACAAGACCTCGAGCTAACTCCCCGAAGGGTAATATCTCGAGGAGAAGTGTTGAGTCAACCATTGACGGAGCAAGATATTCTGAGGGTCGAATTACCAAATCTGATAAAACTGTGATAGGTCCCGGAATAGGGCCCATCACGAGAAATGACGATACTATGTTGGAATGTTCGTGGGTTGGGCAATCCACGAACATTCCGTGCTCTAAGATTTCTCCTTAGAGATAAAAAGCCCCGTATTGTTTTTTTAGCGGAAACTAAACAGACAGTGCGCCAGATGGAAGTTATTCAATGGAAATTAGGGGTGGTGGGGTGTTTTAGCGTGAGTAGAGATGGAAGGTCAGGAGGAGTAGCTCTCTTTTGGCAGCAGGGGGTGGATGTAAATATCCTTTCTTATTCCCTGGGGCATATTGATGCAATGGTGAATGGTTTGGCTACGGAGTCAATCAGGTTTATGGGGTTCTATGGTAATCCGGAAACAAGGCTTCGACGTCAGTCTTGGGACCTGCTGCGTCGGATTGCAGGGTCAGTAACTGGGCCTTGGTTGGTAGGAGGTGATTTTAATGAGATTATAGCAGCACATGAGTACTCTGGTCGCCATTTCCAACCATGTTTGCAAATGAGGGAGTTTAGGGAAGTACTCGACGACTGTGGTTTGTCATCTCTTGGATTTCAAGGCTACAAATTCACTTGGTCTAATAGGTGGCATGGAGCGGGTAATGTCCAGCTTCGTCTGGATCGGATTGTGGCAAATGGAGAGTTGAGGTTGGCATTCCCTTAAGCGATTACTTATCACCTAAATTCTGTGGTGTCAAACCACTTACCTATTCTTACCTACCTGCAGTCCACATTGAGGGAGGGAAGGAGTAAGCAGTTTCTGTTCGAGGAAATGTGGACTACTGTTGAAGGGTGTGAAGATGTTATTACTCAAGCATGGAGGTCTGGTACAGGGACGGCTGTTGACAGAGTGAAAGCATGTCAAGGATTTTTGCACAGGTGGAATAATGAGAAAGTGGGGCGAATACCCGGTAAGATTAAAAATTTGCAGCGAAAATTGGATGTGTTGCAACAGCAACCATTTACAGCAGTAGTGGCCCAGCAACAAGCGACTCTAACTTGGGAAATGGATGTGGTGCTGGAGAGAGAGGAGATCTTATGGCGACAGAGGTCAAGGGTTTCTTGGTTGAAATTTGGGGATCAAAATACTAAATTCTTTCATGAACATGCCAAGATGCGAGGCGAAAGAATCTGAACAAAGGTATTTTTGATGATCATGGAATTTGGTGTACGTCCACCGAACAAATTTCCACTATCTTTTGTGACTATTTTCAAGACTTGTTCCAGAAAAATGGTTGGAATGAGACTGAGACTTACAAAGGAGATTAGGCCTGTGGTTACTGCAGAACAAAATAGTAGGCTCACTTTAACGTTCTCAAGAGTTGAAGTTGAATTTGTGTTGGGGCAGATGCTTCCGACCAAGTCGCCGGGGGTGGACGGCATGCCGGCTTTGTTTTATCAAAAATATTGGGGGACAGTTGGGGATGACGTAGTGAATTTTTCCTTGAATATTTTGAATGAAGGGGCTATGTCAAGGCTGTAAACCATACTCTCCTCACCTTAATACCGAAGGTTAATGGGCCGACAAAGGTCACCGAGTTTAGACCAATTAGCTTGTGTACAGTGCTCTATAAGCTCATATCTAAAACATTGGTTAATAAGATGAAGGAAATTATGCCCGTTATTATTTTGGAGTTTCAGAGTGCCTTTGTTCCTACAAGACTCATTACTGACAACATTATTGCGGCCTTCGAAAGTGTTCATGTTGTTAAACGTAGAGGAGGTAGTGGACTGAAGAAGATGATCCTAAAATTGGACATGTCTAAAGCTTATGATAGAGTGGAGTGGGGTTTCCTTGAAGTTATGCTTCGGAGGTTGAGTTTTAGTGATCGATGGGTGGAACTTATCATGGATTGTGTGTCCACGGTTACCTATTCTATCCAGGTTCGGGGGGCGGTGACGGGCATGGTTGTGCCAACAAGAGGACTTAGGCAAGGCGACCCCCTCTCGCCTTATCTGTTCTTAATATGTGCGGAAGGGTTGTCTGCCTTGTTATCTAGTGCTCTCATAACGAAACAAATCAAGGGAATTCAACGGAATTTCAGTGGCTAGTGGAGCCCCCACTATTTCCCATCTCTTTTTTGCTGATGATAGTTTGCTTTTTTGTGATGCCCATTTATCTGACTGTGCACATTTGCTTCATATTCTCAGATTGTACGAAAGGGCTTCAAGCCAAAAAATTAATTTTGACAAGTCTGCGATGTGTTTTAGTCCCAAGACAGATCCCATAATGAAGCAATTGATTTCAAAGATGCTTGGAGTACGGATTGTGGCTTGCCATGAACGATACCTCGGTTTGCCCACGGTAGCTACTCGAAATAGATCTGAAATGTTCAACCATGTGTCGAGAGCTCTTGTGGCGCAAACTAAATAATTGGAACATGAAGCTCTTGTCGGCGGCAAGAAAGGAAGTATTAATCAAGGCAGTTGGGCAGGCTCTTCCTACATCTACAATGGGAGTTTTTCAACTGCCGCAGACTCTGTGTAAAGAATTATCAGCTATGATAGCCTGGTTTTGGTAGGGGAAATCTGATCAACGAGGCATACATTGGATGGGGTGGCGAAAGCTATGTCAACCTAAATGTATGGGGGGCCTTGGTTTTAAGAATTTTGAAGCTTTCAATAAAGCTTTGGTAGCGAAACAGGCGTGGCGTATTTTGGAGAAACCCAACTCTCTGGTGGCAAAGATCCTGAAGGCTCGATATTTTCCACATGGAGACTTCATGGGGGCCCCTATGGGTCCTTCTCCGTCTTTGATATGGCGATCTATTCTGTGGGGACGGGAGGTTATTGAGGAAGGGCTAGTTTGGCGAGTTGGGAACGGGAATTCAATTAGGATTTTTCATGACAAGTGGATCCCTAAACCATGTACTTTTAAACCATTATGGAATGCAGGATTGTATTGGAATGCTAAGGTGGCTGATCTAATCACTGATTCTGGAGAATGAGATTTGGCTTTGCTAACAAACCACTTCTGTGGGGAGGATAAAGAGGCCATAACTAGCATAGCTTTAGGGTCAATTGCACAATTGGGTGATAACCAATACTGGTACTTCGAAAAATCTAGTAAGTACTCAGTTAAAACTGGATATTGGGTGGCTTTATCCCAATGCGATGAGAACTCTGATATTGGTGGCTTAGATTCCTCGGCAAGACAATCTTTTTGGAAGCAACTCTGGAAGCTTGAGGTGCCAAGTAAGATTAAGAGTCTGGTGTGGAGGGCGTGCTGAGACATCTTGCCCTCTGCTGTTAATCTGTATAAGAGGAAAGTTATTCAGTCCCAAGTTTGCTTCAGATGTGGCAAATATTATGAGGATGCTTGTCGTGCTTTGTGGAGTTGTAAGGTCAGCAAGCAGTTTTGGAGGTGTACGGGGTTTGCTGGGCATTTTAAAATTAGTGAAGGCTCTTTTGCAGATTTATTTGATGCGGTTATTAGAGCTTGCTCACAAGTCGACGTGGAGAGGTTTGTTTGTTGTGTTTGGAAGCTCTGGCAGACACATAATGATATGTTGCATGGGAAATATGTTCCTCGCGTAGAAGACTTAGTCGAGAGAACTATGGAGCTATATGGAGGTTACAAATCCTGTTTGGTGCAGCCCCAGCTGTTTGGGGTGTCTCGGCAAATCAAATGGGTTCGCCGGCCTCTGCAAACCTTTATGCTTAATTGTGATGGTGCCTTGGACCGTGAAGGAAAAAGGAGAGGG